CCTCTCTCTCCTATATATATATATATATNGAAAACATACTCTGAAATAGGTATTTAGATCGTGAACAAAAGCTCTATCTCTTGGAGATTCAGAATACGATTTGGGCCAATTCCTTTGGTGGTGAGTTCAACAGTTTCCGCTGCGTTAATAAGAAATACAACTTGTTGTTCTCGCCCCGTGATTATTAATCAACAATATGTAACAAAATAGGTGACATATTCAAATTGACCGACTTTTGTTTACATATTCAAATTGTAAATAGTTGCAGCTTAGCATTTCGACGATTTAACTTATTGCATTGTACGTTATTATACCTCTTTCAGAGAATAAAATTGATATTTATGATTATACATTATGATGAACTCCAAAAACTTCGCACCAAAATAATTGGACAAGAAACTCATGTGTGTACAATCTATCCTAGAAAGTGTATGGTGTATGAATTTATATAAGTTTTATTCAAATGATGTTAAAATTAGATTTTTAGATCATTTAAATTGCAACTGCAAGTAGGTTTGAATATTAAATATCAATTAATAAACCTGAAAAGATCTAAGATAGAAAATCTGTTGAGGTATAATGAGTTACATATGCTTTATAATTACATTATCGTTCCAGCAAATTAGTTGGATCGTAGCTCATTTATTACCCGAAATTCTCAAAACAAAAATATAAACAACAAATTAAACGCCACTACATTTATATGTTTCCAATTGTAAAATTTTCAAACTGGTTACCTTCAAAATCATGTTTTTGGACAACATTAAAGCTAAAATAAAAGCTCCATTTTATAAAAAAATTTGGGCTATGAACCATTGATGTTTAGCTTAAAGCATATATATTTCTATGTATATCGCCTCATATTTTACTTTTGTTTCGTGAATTTGGGATGTTAAATGCTATCATTTATATTAATTTGAAGTGTTTTCATGTGTAGGAATAATTCGGGAGCAATTGGGGGCGAAACGCGCAAAATTAGAGCCAAAACGAACAAAACCAAAAAAATTGTGCATTTGGGCGCCACATGCAGTGCCTGGCGCCACCCGTGGCGTTGGAACAGGAGTTGAAAATTGGGCAGCGTCCTGGTGGGAGCCCGGCGCAATCCAGGGCGCTGCTAACATGATTTTTGTCCCATTTTGCCAGGGACACGGTTTATTCGGCTTTAGACCTACCCAACAGTATAAAAGAAAGACTAAGCCTATTTTTGATGGGAGAGACGCACTTTGGAGGAAAAATACACACAAGAAACATCCGGGAGCAAGAACATCTCAGATTTCTTCATCTTTTCTAGTATTTTCAATTATTCAAACCTTATGCAATTGTTTGCTAGTATTATGAGTGGCTAAACACCCATTGAAATGGGTTTGTGATTTAGCCATGCATATTGTTGTTTAACGTTGACTTAACCTCGATTATAATTCACTAACATATGGTTGTTTCTTTAATTCTGTGTTTAACTGCTTAATTGTCTGGCTAACAGTTAGGTTCTATTTACTATCTATGCTATGCTTGGGAAAGCCGTGTTTATATTAGAGAAGAATTGAAGAGAGCATGATCTTAACCCTTAGGGGGAGCGGATTTGTGGTTAGGATAGCAATATACCTAGTCACCGTACTTAATTAAATATCGTAATCTTAATGCGTTCTTAATAGACTGATTTCATAGGAATATAGGCGTTAATCTATTTTGAATAGGCGAGTAGTACTTCGGGAGAAGGTTATGAGAGCAATTATCGATTAATTAGCAACCGTGAGTGAATTGTATGAGAGAGAGAGAGAGAGTTAATTAGAACACAATACGAATGGTGAATCGATCACAACCCTGGAATATTTGTCTCTATTGAATACATAACAATCATTCTACTGCTTAATAATTTAGTTATTACTTAGAATTGTAGTTTAGTATAATTAAAATCTTGAACTCGAATCTAGCTTGACTGAATAACAATATTGGTGAGTTAGTGAGTAGTTGATATAAGTCTCTGTGGGTTCGACATTCAACTTATTATTTTATTACTTGTACGACCACGTATACTTGCGTGTGCGTTTGGGAGCAAAACGTTTTTGGCGCCGTTGACGGGGACTTAAAAATTAGCTACTTTGCTGACTTAAGCTTTTATTAGTTATTTGTTCAAGTTTTAATTGTCAGTTTACCTTGTTTGTGTTAACAGAGACTCTTCTCTTGAATGCGGAGAAGTAGAAGCGCAAACAATCTCCTTCCTCTTGATCCTGAAATTGAACGGACACTTCACAGATTGAGGAGGGAGGTCGAAGCTAGAACTAGAATTGAAAGAGAGTAGGACATCGTAGTTCAACCACAACCAATCGAGATGGAAGGTAATGCAGAGCGTGCAGTAATAGAAGCCGCAAGGCCCAATCTTGCTAATATGACTTAAGCTATTGTGAAGCTTGAGATCCCAGGGCATTTTCAACTCAAATAGTACATGGTACAACTGATTCAGTCCACAGGGCAATATGTGGGTCTATCTCATGAAGATCTGCAGAGGCACATTCAGAATTTCTTGGAAATTATGGACACCTACAATTATCCGAACGTTTCCAAGGACTATGTCAGGCCGACAATTTTTCCCTTTTCACTGCTGGGGGAAGCTAAGGAATGGTTACAGAAAGAGCCCATGAACTAAATCCACACTTGGGATGATCTAGCAAGGAAATTCTTAATCAAGTTTTTCCCCACCAAGAAGACAAAATCATTGAGGAATCAGATTCTTGGGTTCAAACAACGGGATGGCGAGACACTTCGTTAAGCTTGGGAAAGATACAAGAAGCTACTCAGAGATTGCCCGTACCATTATCAGACTGATGGGGTATTGGGACACACTTTTGTTGGCGAGATAGATGAGGCCTCAGAGATGAATCTTGATTCAGCTTGTGGGGTTAGTTGCATGGCGAAACCATATAGTGAAATTCTACTCTTGCTGAATAACTTCACTGCTAATGATCATAACTGGCAAGGAGATGGGGATTCATGCAAGGCAAGTAAACAGAAGGCAGTCGGGTTGATTGAGCTTGATGACTTCTCGGCTATGAGAGCTGAGATAGCAAAATTGGCAAACCAGATGAATAGAATGATAATGCAACAGACACAACAAATTCACCATGTACAATAGATTCTTTGTTGCGAACTGTGTGGTGAAAACCATATGAGTGACATGTGCCCCACGAATCCATAATCTATATACTATATGGGACAACAGAGCAATGGTCCAATGAATCAGAATGCACAATATGGGAACACTTATAAACCAAATTGGAAGAATCATCCCAACTTCTGATGGGGTGGAAATCAACCGAATCAGAATCATTATATACCCCAAGGAAATTTCAATCAGCCTTAGAAGCCACCTCAACAGGCAGAAGAGAAAGGGAATGATTTGTTGAAGCGGTTGTTGCTTGACAATCAACAGCTCAGGACCGATTTCAAAAATTTGGAGCGCCAAATGGGACAGCTTGCCACTCAAAAACACTAGACCAGTTGGAGCTCTTCCAAGTGATACTGAAGCTAATCCTAAGGCATCCCTTAATGCCATGCCATTGAGGAATGGGAGACAATTAGAAGAGGTTTAGTCGAGAAAGAGCAAACATGTGACTTTTGATGAGAGGCAAGCCACTATTGAATCAACATCAAAAAAATCTAAGGAATCCGAGAAGCCAGCTGGAGAGGTGGTTGCTGAGCAATCCCCACCAGTGGTTGCAAGGCCACCACCTTCGTTCCCTCAAAGATTGCAGAAAGTAAAAGATAACACCGCATATAAAAAGTTTCTTGATATTTTGAAGCAGTTGCAAATTAATATTCCGTTGGTTGACATCTTACAAGAAACGCCCAAATATGCAAAGTACAATAAGGACATAGTGGCAAATAAAACGGGGTTGACCGAGTTCGAAACTGTGGCACTTACTAAGGAGTGTAGCTCAAGAATTCAAAGCAAGTTACCTCAGAAATTGAAGGACCCAGGTAGTTTCACTATCCAAATACTGATTGGTAAACATGCAGTTAGGCGAGCCTTATGTGATCTTGGAGCGAGCATCAATTTAATGTCGCTATCGGTGTTCAAACAATTGGGGTTGGGTGAGCCACGCCCAACAACGGTAATCTTACAGCTAGCTAATCACTCCCTTGCTCATCCTGAAAGAGTGATTGAAGATGTGCTGGTTCAAGTAGGGTCTTTCATATTCCCTGCTGACTTCATTATCCTGGACTACGAGCCCAATCAGGAAGTCCCATTTATTTTGGGGCATCCATTCTTAGCCACGGGCCGAGATATTATTGATGTTTGCGAAGGAAAGATGACGATGAGAGTAGGTGATCGAGTGGAGGTATTCAATGTTTATAAAGTACTCAGGTTGCCAACTCACTATGAAGAGTTATCCATGATCTCTGTGGTGGAGAGTGATGCCACATTGTTAGTGCCCTATATGATCCCTGTAGATCCTGTTGAACGAGTGTTGATTGGGGATGACGAAGATAGTGAAGATGAAATGATGGGAGAAATTGAGCAAGTACTGGATATGTCCTGCAGTTATATCCAGGGGTTTGGAAAATTTGAGGAGTTGGACAGGCCTGTCACTCTGACCCCTCCTAAGCCATCTATTGAAGAAGCTCCGAAGCTAGAACTTAAGCCACTTCCAGCGCATCTGCGCTATGCTTAGTTGGAGAACTCTGAGACATTGCCCGTGATTATTTCGTCCAGATTGACCAACACTCAAGAAGAAAAATTGCTCAGAGTACTCCGCGAGCATAAAAAAGCCATTAGGTGGACTATTGCTGACATCAAGGGAATTAGTCCATCGGTTTACATGCATACAATCTTTTTGGAAGATGGACACCGCCCTAGTGTGGAGTAGCAGAGAAGGTTAAACCCCATTATGAAAGAGGTGGTGAAAAAGGAAGTTATCAAGTTGCTCGATGCAGGTATCATTTTTCCTATTTCTAATAGCAACTAGGTAAGCCCAGTTGAATGTGTGCCAAAAAAGGGAGGAATGACTGTGATTGAGAATGAGTTAATTCCTACTCGCACTGTGACGAGGTGGAGAGTCTACATTGATTATAGACGGCTCAACAAAGCAACCCGCAAGGACCATTTCCCACTTCCATTCATTGACCAAATGCTAGACAGATTAGTCGAGCATGAATATTATTGCTTCCTTGATGGTTATTTGGGATACAATCAGATTGTCATATGCCCAGAGGATCAGGAAAAGACCACTTTTACTTGTCCTTATGGTACTTCTGCCTTCAAGCGAATGTTGTTTGGTCTTTGTAATGCACCAGCCACTTTCCAGAGGTGCATGATGGCTATTTTCACCGACATGGTGGAAAAATTCGTGGAAGTGGTTATGGATGATTTTCAGTTTTTGGGTCTTCTTATGATGATTGCTTGAGGAATTTAAGCAAGGAGTTGTCCCATTGTGAAGAAACAAATCTAGTACTAAATTGGGAAAAGTGTCATTTATAGTACAAAAAGGCATCGTGTTGGGTCACAGAATATCTAGGGGCGGCATTGAAGTTGATAAGGCGAAGGTGGAGGCGGTTGAAAAATTACCTCCACCTATTTCAGTGAAGGGTGTTCGAAGTTTCTTGGGACACGCGGGTTTCTATCGATGCTTTATTAAAGACTTTTCTAAAATTGCTACTCATTTGTGCAGGTTGCTTGAAAAAGATGTAACTTTCAACTTTGATGACACCTGCCTCAAGGCATTTGAAGAATTCAAAAAGAAGTTCGTGTCTGCTCCCATTATTGTGGCACCCAATTGGTCCTTACCATTTGAGCTTATAGGTGATGCAAGTGACCACGCTATTGGGGCAGTGTTAGGCTAGAGGAAGGACAAGGTGTTTTATTCCATCTACTATGCGAGTAAGACTCTTGATGACGCATAGCTGAATTACACCACTACTGAGAAGGAGTTGTTAGTTGTTGTGTGGGACTTTGAGAAATTTTGGGTATACTTGGTGGGAACGAAAGTCATAGTCCATACCGATCATGCAGCAATCATGTATTTGTTTACAAAAAAGGAATCTAAGGCTAGATTAATGCGTTGGTTTTTGTTGCTATAAGAATTTGATGTATAAATACGAGATCGAAAGGGAATAGAGAACCAAGTAGTTGACCATCTATCAAGGTTGGAAAATCACGATCACGTGGAGGAGGGTGGCCAAATTAAAGAAGTCTTTCCTGATGAGCAACTTTTTGCTATCACCTAAGACCCTCCACCATGGTACGCAGTCTACGTGAATTATCTTGTGAGTGGGGTACTTCCTCCTGAAATTGAATCTGAAGCTAGAAAGAGGTTTCTACATGATGTGAACTTCTACTACTGGGATGAGCCATATTTGTACAAGAAATGTACTGATCAATTGATGAGGAGATGCATTCCAGAAAAGGAGGTGGAATTAGTGTTATATGATTGTCACGCATCACCTTATGGGGGCCATCATTGAGGAGATAAAATAGCTACAAAGGTACTACAATCTGGTCTCTTTTGGCCTACTCTATTCAAGGATGCCCATGCATTTGTTAAGAAGTGTGACCAATGTCAGAGAATAGGAACAATCACAAGGAGGCATGAGATGCCTTTGAACAACATCCTAGAAGTTGAGCTTTTTGATGTGTAGGGGATAGATTTTATGGGACCATTCCCATTGTCTAGAGGAAACAAATACATCTTGCTAGCAGTTGACTACGTGTAAAAATGGGTGGAGCCAATTGCTTTGCCAACAAATGATGCCATGGTGGTAGCTGCTTTTGTGAAAAAGAACATATTTTCGAGATTTGGGACTCCACGTGCCTTAATTAGTGATGAGAGGACCCATTTTTGCAATCGGTTGTTGAATAACCTTCTAGCTAAATAAGGAGTTCGCCACAGAGTTGCTACAACATATCATCCTCAAACAAGTGGGCAAGCTGAGGTGTCAAACAGAGAAAGAAAGCAAATATTAGAGAAGACAGTGAGTATGAACAGGAAGGATTGGGCTGCAAAGTTAGATGATGCCTTATGGGCGTGTAGAACTTCATATAAAACGCCAATTAGGGCGTCCCCTTACAAGCTTGTTTATGGGAAGGCATGTCACTTGCCCGTTGAACTGGAACACAAGGCATACTGGGCCATTAAGAAGCTAAACATGGACCTTGAAGACATGGGCGAGAAAAGACTTTTGCAATTGAATGGGTTAGATGAGTTTAGGCTGCACTCTTATGAAAATGCTAAGCTCTATAAAGAAAAGACAAAAAGATGGCATGACAAGCATATCAAGCCGCGTCACTTTAAGCCAGGCCAACATGTATTATTATTCAATTTTAGGCTATGATTGTTCCCTGGAAATCTAAAATCGAGGTGGTCAGGTCCGTTTTAGGTGGTGAGAGTCACTCCTTATGGTGCAATCGAGTTGCAAGCTTTAAATGGTGAAAGGAAGTTTTTGGTGAGTGGTCATCGAGTCAAGCACTATTAGGAGGAATGATTAATCGTGAGAAGACCAAGGTTGTACTCGCTGATAAGTAAGCTAGACACTGCGTCGTGCCGCGATGTTAAATCAGGTGCTTATTGGGAGGCAACCTAATTTTTATTGCTTTCCTTGTTTAACTTCTTAATTTTCTTTTAGAATAGTTAGAGTTTTGCATTTTCTTTGTAGGTATAGAAATTTGAGATATAATGGTGTAGGACGTGTAAATTGGGTACATATAAGGCTCAGAGGATCGGGTTGTTTCAAAAATAAATTGCGAAAACAGCGCCCAGCGCTGCCTGGGGCGCTGGAAAGAGAATGAAAAAAACCCCAGCGGCATGCAGGGCGCGAGGCGCCGGGCTGGGGGCGGATCAGGTAAGTTTTTTTATTTTTTTATTTTTTGTTTCTTTGCTTTCTTTATTAACCCATGCTCATTTAACCCCACCCAAATACCCATTTATACTAACATTCTAACCTATCCTAATACTCATACCCACTCCCAGTCCAACTTAACCATCACCCAAACCCACCCAAACACAAAAACCAACATCAAACGTTGAAAATTTCTATAGCTTCTGTCGCGTCCGCTTCTTCCTCTCCAAATTTTCTCAGTTTTTTTTTCTCTCTTGCTCTCCTTCTCCAGTCTACAGGTATGTTCTTCTTCTTCTTCTTCTTCTTCTTCTTCTTCTTCTTCTCTTTCTTTTTGTGTTTTAATGAATAGATAATTATATACATCCCATTCCCAAAAGCCCCAATCCCCCAATTTTTTATGTAGTTCTTATGTAATTTTTATGGTGGGTGGCTTGTGTTGGTCGAAATTGTGTGACTAATGTGTATACGGAGTAGTAAACTAGAATTCCCTCTACTTCATTGAAAATTAGAAGGTCCACCATATTTCACCATTGTTGAATTAGAAGCACACACTTTATGCCCGCAAGATGTTTGCTAAAATGCTTGAAAGAGGATTTTGGTGCACCGGTGAAGTATGAGTAACCGAGTATATTTGTGTATGAATTTTGGCTAAGTGTGGGGTGTGTAGGGATGCTTTTACATGCTAGGGGGTATGTCTTTGATGCAATACATGTTCCTACACCATCTATCTTATATAATGTATATTGTAGAATCTTGTAGATTTGACTAATTTAGTATAGTCTAGTAGTTGTGAAAGGTGCGTACCATACACCTCTTGCTTAACTTAATGTGAATTCGCGTATCCATAATCAATCATTATTTGTGTGGCATGGGGAAGCCTTGAGTACCCATAGCTTTAGGGTGCAACACTTCTACATGTTGGATCCAAAATTGTGACATAGTGTACATTATGCCTTCGGTTTTAAGTGTGGGGTCATTTTATGACTTGCACGACAACCTTAGGCATATTTCTTGACAAGTTCTCACATCCATGTTTATTTGTGTTGTAGGATACTATGGATCGTGATGGTTCTAGCAAAGGAAAGAGCATTGGAAAGTCCTCCACAACCTCTCCAGTGCCCAAAAAGCGAAAGCGGGGAGAAAGCTCTCATGGCAATCCAAAGGATAACAGGTCGCCGAGGGATCTCAGCAGGTGCCATTAAGGCCGAGGCCTCATTTGGATTTGGTCGATGCTGCAGCTATTTCATAGCACAAGGACTTCATGCCATCTGGGCAGTACATTTCTGAAATTGGGATTAATACCATGACCTTAGAAAGAAACTTCCCGGAGGTACTTGGCTGGCTGCGAACTCTAAATATGCACAAGTTCTTGGAATGCCCGGGACCTGCAAACCTGAGCATGGTTCGAGAGTTTTATGCTAACTGGGATTACCAATTGGACACTTCACGTGTAAGAGGGAAGGATGTGCCGATGGATAAAGTGTCTTTATGTGACTATTTGGGGGTTGAGAATACTAATCCAAGGAGACTCCAACGATTTATCAGAAGCCCAAAATATAAGTTGATACGTCACACTCTTTGTGGCGTAGATTCCAATGCTAAGTGGATAAAGAAGCAGGGCAACATTCACCTTTCTATGGTTCGCTCCGACTTCAACAAAGCTGCTAAAGTATGATAGAATTTTGTACAAGCGAGACTCATGTCGGCGAAGCACAGCAGCGATTGCACTCGCACTAGAGTATGTGTCATTTTCTTCTTAATGATCGGTTGATCCAATAATGTGGCTGTGATTATGCTCAGTGAGATGGCCCGCACGAGATTTGGCGACAGATTAGGCGGTTCTTCTTCGGAAACTTGCTCACTTAGCATATGCTATTTCGAGGAGTGCCGGAGTACCCCGGACATGATGAGGTGGTGGAGGCACCGTCAGGGCTTATAGACATCAATCTCTATTAGAGACATCGTCAAAACGCACCCCCGCAGCCCGTATGGAGCGAGATGAGAGCTTCAATAGGTACCTTTATAACTCGATGAACATACTCATGAGCAGGGCAGGTATTACAAATGAGGAGCGTATGCATTTACGTAATGACTTGTCCAGCACGTCCAAGGAGATGTTGGGGATTGCACATGGCAGCCCTGTTCACTCGTCGGAGGACGTCAACTCTATTAAGGGCTCAAACACTGAGGATGAGGATGGAAATGGTGCTATGGGGCCCATGACTTTGGTGCCTCTAGGACCGGATGATGATGAGCCCAGAGCTACTGGTGGAGGGCATGCTGCGGAGGTGGACTCCACCTAACAGGGAGTTTTTCTTTTCACCCTACTCCATATTTCATTTTTACTTGCATCGAGGGCTATGCATAGTTTAAGTGTGGGGTGGGAGGAATACTACCTGTGCTGTAGTTATATATTTTGTATCAACTTGTTTGATTTGTTTCTTTTAGTAGTGATAGTGTAGTTAGTCTAGTGTAGTTTAGTAGCTTTAAAAAAAAGAGAAAAAAAGCATAAAAATACAAAAGAAATTTTTTTTTTTTGAAAAAAGCTCGGACTTTTCCCGACGATGGATCTTTTGGACAATTTTCTTGAGGGATAAAATTCTAATTTAAAAAAAACACCAAAAAGTTTTTTTTAGAATAGCTAGGTAGTATTCCTTGGTTTTTCTTTGGGCACCGATTCTTTTCCAAGGATGTAGCTCGAACCGGGTACTTCTTTTTTTTTTTAGGATTAGTTTAGGAAGAAACTGAGTCGCTCTGAGATACCCATGGACATGGTTGTTGCTAGCACATTAGGCTATGACATACACTGTATCTTTCCCATGTATTTGTTTTGGATTGTGAAGCCTGAGTAAAGTAAATAGCCTATTTTGTGACGCTCTCTCTCAGTTGTTTGACTTGTATGCCACATAATGCAATATTGCTTAAATTTCTCAATTATGTGCGCTTGCTCGACTTGAGAGTTGAACAGAACCGTCTTGATTGAGTCATGTGCAACATGTGTGTGAGGA